TAAAACATAAAAACGACCGAAATAAATAAAAATAAACAAAAACGAAAACGAAAACGAAAAAACCCAAAACCAAACCTAAAAAAAAGAAGGAAAATTCTTTAACTTTGGCTGACTGACTTTTCAGAATTTATTTTATTTTATTTTATTTTTTTTTGTGGCGACATCGTTGGCGGCGGCGGCGTCGTTGGTGGCAGCATTGGTGGCGTTGGCGCGTGGAGGTAATTGAAGTGACGTTTATGAATGTCATCCGTCAGGCACTCAAGGACATTTACATACACACACATATATACACACATACACACACACGCACACTGAGGCTGACACACAGGGACAAGCTCGGGAGAGGGGGGTCGTTGGGCTGCTTGACAGATGCACGTTACACAGATTTTGTTATTGTTGTTGTTGTTGCTGTTGCTGTTATATACCGCACCAATACACACACTCCCACACACACACACACACACCCTAGTGCTGAGCAATATCCTCTGCGACTGTGACTGCCTGTCGAGCGTAATGGTCACAGTCACGATATTTAAAGTTCGCAAAAAGAATGAAGTTAACTGTTAGCAGCACGGAATGAAGCAGCGGACAAGTGAAATAATATAACTCGAAACATTTTGTTGGGCAGCGGCACCAGACTCGCAGGCAAGCCGAGTGTCATTTAGAGAACTCTACTGGAAAGCGATCTAGGCAAGTAATATGCATAGAAATAAGGAATTGACTTGGAGTACTTACTCTGGATAAGCTAACCTAACTAGTTAAAGTCGTTAGGAATATAATATCTAATCATATGATAGTAATAATAAAACAAGTGCAGTCTTCGAAGGAGATTTTTGATCCAAATTTCCCTTTAAAATTTGAAGGACCATATATATACTTTCGCTGAAGCGGGCACAGACATAGACCATAGTAAAATAGTAATAATAATAAGTAAGAAAATAATTCAAACTACAATTTGAAAATGACGGACAATCAGGAATGTGAGCAGAAATTATGAAATTAAATTTTATTATATTTAGTTACATGTAATTTAATAAACAGCAACCAATATATTTATATCAAGAAAATTAAAAATCATTTAATTTCTCGAAGTGAGTGCTTTAAGATGCGAATAATGATTATTCAATTTAAGTGATAAATAGCCCAATAAATAGCCCAATGTTCGAATGAAATTAAATAAATTATTCGACTGCAGTGTGGATTTAACGGTAATAAGGACGCCGCCATGTTGACGAGTCCTATCCCACTTTTAAATTATTATTATATATTTTAAAAAAATCTAAAGAGGACGTTAGTTTTTTGGGACGGTGTCAAAGGTGATTGAAAGGCTGAGGAAGCCAAAATTTCCAGTCATAAGGAGCAGTTATCTCAAAAGGATGCTCGAAAATATTGAATTTAGAAATAGTCGCACTAAGCATTTAAAAAAATAAGTGTCAGAGACTGAAGAATGAACATACAAAAAATATAAATATTCATTTTTCATTTTATATGAATTGTAAATTTGTATTCCTTAAGACCTTTTCTTCATATAAATAAATTGAACTTAAGATCGGCGCAGTTGTGACCGTGACTAATAAGCAATGTTCATCTCTAAAGCACACACACGCACACTCTCACACACTCACACACACACAAGCTCAAGTCACATGGCGCATACGCCGCGTTGGCCTCCTATATGTGGAGGATGTAAGCTGCTCCTGCTGCTATGTGTGCGTGTATGTGTGTGTGCGTGATTGTGTACAAGTGTGGGTTTGTTTATGTGTGTGCGAAACAATTTAAAAATAAATACAAGAAACTAGCACAGAACGTGGCGGCAATGGGTCGAATGAGCGCCTACTAGGCAACAGGGGCGCCTGTGGGGCAAGCTAACTGCTAACCGCGAGGGCAGAATGATAGATTAAAGAGGAAAAGGAAAAGGACTAGAACACGCTACTCTCCCTCTCTCTCTCTCTGTCTCTCTGTCTCTCTCACTCCCTCGCTTCCGCACACCCTTTCCACACTCTGGTGTCAATTTGGCCATTTTGCCTGTTTGCCTTTAGAATTGGACACGTTTTGAAGGGGGGCTCGCTTCGGTTCATATGTCATTGTCTTGTTTTCTAGTTTCACACGCATCGTTTTTCATCTATCCAAATGATTTGGCGCTTTTCATCAATTTTTCATGTCGAACTCAACTCAAACTGGCCCACAAAATTGAGCATATTATTTGAAGTTAAACATATATATTAAATAGGATTTGTAGCAGGCCAACAGTAAAATAATAATATATATCGATATTTATCGATATCGATATCGATAATGCGATCATCAGCTTGAAAATGAGTCGAGAGTATTTAATTTAGCTTTGTCCAGTCTGGATTACTCTAAATTGTTGTGGCAACCCGTGCATTTGTGGCTGCATCTCGTTCTTTAGATATGTTGCATGCATATGTTTGTGTGTACTTGCCACAGCGGCAACCCACTTGGCTTGTCTACTAATTAAAATGCATGCAATAACCTGAAGCCTTTGTTGCCACATTGTTGTTGCCGAGGTTGTTGCTGATGTTGCTGCTGCTGCTGCTGTTGCAGTTGCAGTTGCGTAGAAGGACAGCCGCACAGCGTTGACAATTTGCACAAAGTGCTTTGACTTGCAGGGGGAGTGGGAGGCTGGGGCGGCTTGCCTTTGCTTTTAAGGCGATTTCTTTTTTTTTTGTCATTCAATGCCCCAAGCTGCCCCTGCGTGCCCCGTCAAGTCAAAAACTATTGATAGCTTTTGTGTGCAACATTTTTAATTGTCTATCAGCGCGTCTATTTTAAGCACAAAAGCCCCACAAAATGCTGTCCTTGCAGCAAGCTTAGCGGCGCCAGGATCACAATTTCAGCACTTTCCATTTTTTCATAAACGCAATTTAATGCCCCAAATTCAGCAACTGTTGCTGTTGCTGTTGCAATCGTGCCACGTGTTGCAACTAAAATGAATGCAAATTTTCATAGTAAATTAAAGTGCCACAACGCAACGGGCAACGAATTTTTTTTATTATTGCGTGACTAACGCAAAGTGCTGCGCATTGCAGGCTCATTTTCAAATACCCTGTAAATAGCTACACACTGCGGGTATATCTATACTATTTGTAGCAGCACGCAGCAAAAACTTTAGGCTATTTTGTATATGTAAAAAATAATAAAGAAAAATTTGAATTCCCAAAGAATATCTAAATAACACTTTTAAATACCATAGAAAAATAATAAGTCATTTGTAAACTATTTGCATAAATATATCACCAAATATATTGTAAATTATAAATTATGCATAAGACCTCTCCGACTTTTTTCCTGTCTCTCTCTCTCTCTCTAATTTTCTATCTCTCTGTCTCACTCTCTCTCATGTTTTCTTTTTATTTTTCTTTCTCTCGCTATCTCCGTCTCTCTCTCTCTCTCTCTCTCTCTCTATTTCTCTCTCACTCTACTCCGTATCGTTCTTTCTATCTTTCCTTCTCTCTCTCTCAATCTCACTCTCTCTCTCTCTCAATCTCACTCTCTCTCTCTCTCTCACCCGTCATCTCTCTATTTTTCTCTCTCTCTCCCTTTCTCTCACCCAATCTAAATCAACTGAACAAGTCGCTGTTTTTAATCATTATCGCTCTGTCCCTCTCTTTTCATTTCTTTCTGTCTCTCTTACCTCTTCTCGCTCTCTCTCACTCTCTCTCTCTCTCTCTCTCTCTATCTTTCTCTCTCTTCCTCTATCTCTTCTGAGCAAGTCCAAGAAAACTAGTCTAAAACTGCACAATTTACAGGGTATACAAACGCCGACATGTGCTTAGCGACTTGCCTAACCTTCTCACTTGTTGTTATTATTGTTGTTTATTCGAATTTTAAGGTTGAATGCAGTAAAGCGATTTACAAAAATTTGACACAAAATTTGCGCAATGTGCATGTCTAAGGGAGTTAACTTAGAAGGCTAATTTATAGTGGTAAATATACAGTAAACATTATTAAGAGTTATCTGATAACAACTCTAGCGATATATATAAATCGAGATAAAATTTACAAAAAAAAAAAAAACGATAAATAGCTTTCAAAATTGAGTACTTAATTTGGGTAAACATTTATTTTGTTTTTATCGATTTTCTATTGCATCCTTAATATACAAGCAATTAATTAATTTAACTTTAATTTAATTTTTATTAATTAAATTATGACTTTAGCCCAGAACTCGATTTGGAAGTTAAACATATGATATTAATGTATCTTTTTCTGTCGCTGTACTTCTGTGACATAAAAGTGTTTAAAATGTCATATGAAGTGTTGAATGTGTATTGTTCATATTTTGTAAATCTGAATGCTAATGCTAAACATCTGAGAGTCCACAGTTCAGTGCATGCGCAGCTTATTGTTGAAAACATTTAAGTCGCAAAGCATGCTTGTTATTATTTTAACGACATTTGATGGTAATTGTATGCCCAAAAACAAATCTTATGAATTACGCAAATTGACCTTGAGATTCGCAAAACGCTGTTATTACAAACTCATTTCACGGTTTGAGCTTTCGAACACAGTGCAAAGATATTTTGATCGAATCGAGTGGGCGCCAAATGAAACTTGAAGAAGCATAAGAAAGGGAAAACCGGTTCGCTTGAACTTGACCCGTTAGCTCTGCCTACGTTTTGTGCAAAGATTCGCAGCGCAAAAGCAAAAGCAAAAGAAGAAAAAAGCTCACGCTGTGTTGGGTCATTGCCGCGTGGAAAAATGCGGCATTAAGTAATTGTTTACAAACAAAGTTCTAGAATACAAGCAGACGCCAAGAGAGAGATGCGACAGACAGCAACAGCTGTTCGACCACAGATTCCGTCATGCGCCAAAGCTTTTTGCGCAGACGATCGCCGGCATTTCCAAGAAAGCTTTTTTGCAACTGGCGAGCTTTCGCGCTGTGGGCAGAGCAACTGACGCTCGTCTAAGCTAGTTTTAGTTTGGAATTTAACGCGCTGACAACACACGGCAAGCAGCAACGATCTATAAATAAATTCAAATTTTAAATTCAAAAATATATAAACAACTTACTGACGTCGTGAAAAACTGTATTGATTTCCATTTTCAAAGTGAGTGTCCAAATTTCATTCAAATGCCTCTGCTGTCAGCAAAAGCAACAAGTGCCACATGGAAATTGTTGTGGGAACCAGTACGACTTGTACAAAGCCCACATACAACCACACACATACACATATATATCGATTGATTGATTTTTTGTTTTTGTTGTTGTTGTCGATCGCTTATTGGCAAAGGCTTACCTCACTGTCAAAATTATAGCTTGCGTGGGAAAGATCATCGCAGGATCAGCAATTAGCTAATTGAATCAATATGAAATCGCGTCAATTGAACAACTTGTAATCCATGAGTCAAAAGCAAACATCTCCAACAACAACAATTGAACTTTCCATATTTGCTGATGGTTCAAGTCCGAATTACTTCATCACGATCGCGTCAAAGTGAAATCTTCGCACAGTTGTGGCTAAATGCTAAATCACTTTTTAACCGTCAAATAAATCAGCCTGAAATATTTCATTTATGCTCGACCAATATCTGATTTTTGGCAAGAAATTCTTGCACATAAAAATCCACTTCGAATTTAAGATACATTATTTATAATAATGTAAGAGATCAGCCTCAAATATTTGAGTTCTTTACTACAAATGTCAGATTTTTAGCACGAAATTCACAAATTATAATATTTATACACACATATAAATTGTCTATTATATTCAACTTACAGCCTACAAAAATGTAAGCTTTCAGTCTGCAGAAATTACTTAAATTTCAATCGCTTTATTAAGCAGCTGCTCACAAATCTGACTCATCTAAATTACATAAATTTATACCATTTTCCCATTAATAGACATTATAAAGTCAGAGATCAGAGTTCAATTGTACACATGTCGCATACTTAATATCACACATCTCAAAGATCAATAAACTTGGTTTTCTAAACGCAATTTGATGGCATTCATAATCTTTTAATTCACTACTAAGCTCATTCAACTTAAATAAAGAAATTTGCCTAGCAAGCAGAATGTGACGACAAAGACTACACTATATATACTATATATCAGGTGACTGATAATAAATATTTTTAATTGGGTTGTTTTTGCTAGTCTCGCCTACTAACCTAATTTAAAGTGTAGAAAGACATCACCCACAATCAGTAATTTATATAAAATACGGAAATTAATTATTTATTTATTTTTCTAATATTTAGCAAAATTAACTTTGAGTTCATTTTGTTCAGTGCTTTAAGTATTCATAAAACTTAATAACTATGACGTCTAACTCGGGTTACTGATTATTACACCATATTATATATAATATTAACTACTTAATATATGCTCAGGCTATGCATTGACGTCGCATAAATTCTAATCAGTTGCCTAGCTTAATATTTTTGGATGAGTGCAAATTTCCTGAAGTTAATCGCCACACACTCATACGCACACAAACACACAAGGATAAGGCATGCCCTTGAGTAATGAAATAATTAGAATTACAATAAAATAGGCCCTCAAACAGAAAGCAAGCCAAGGCATATATAAATAGGCTCAATTATTGTAATGGCACCACATTAATAACAAAGCAAATCAATAAGGAATAAAGATCGCTGGAAGTGCAACAACGTATTGCTGATTAAAATCCAAATATATATATATAAATATATATATATATATATGTATGTATATATACACAACAACAACTGTTACAAGACAAAAGTTATCAGCGCGCAAAGTAATTGAAACAACTGTGAAAAGTGTAAGTGAAATCGTCGCAACAAACAAACAAAACAAAAACTCTATAAAAAAAAACACTTAAAAACAAAACTAGTTATAATTTTTAATAACTATTTCTCGCATACAGCTATAAACTATATATGTGTGGTTAATGTTTTTTTTTAGGCTGGTCGCGTGGCACTGGCCACACGCAGGGCTTGCAACACTTTCAACGTTTGGCTGCAAGTGGGTCAGCCGTCTGTGGATGCGGGACGCTGGTAGAAAATACCAAGCCCGGCCATTACAAAATACTTGCATAAAAATGCAACAGCCAAAAACCATGGCAAAAACGCGAGCAACAAACAACAGCAACAAAATGTGGCAAATGTTTTTATTGGCGCTGCTGCTGTTGCAATTACTAAGCGGACACATCGAACCCGTGGATGGCCACAAAGTGACGGTAAGTCAGTTACCAGTTGCCTGTTACCAGTTACCATTTACCAGTTAACAGTTAGCCAACAACAACAGATTGCCAATATAATTGGCCAGTGGGGTAATATCAATCTTAATTTAAAAGTATTTATTTCATACATGTTGCCGTTGTCTTTTTTCATAAAAATTAATTTATATTTTTAGTCTATGATTGAGTAAGATGCGAATCATATAATAAGGAAAATAGATTTTAAAAAATGAGTTAAAAAATATCTTGCACATTAATTAACAAATGTTTGCTAGCAGTTAAAATAATTAACTTATTCCCTTGTTGCTCATTTAAACATTTCCTCAAATTGTGTAATATGGACTTATTCTATTTCAAAATCTCAAAGAAAGCCTAACATGTGTCAGACAGTTGAGAATTAATAAACAAAATATATATACTATATATATAACTGTCCCGATAAGATATTAGCTACTTACTCACAAGAATTGTGAACTTTGAATCGAATGTAGAATAATAAAAAGTGGAAGTGCCCCAAAAGTTATATATAAAGATCGTAAAATTTTTTTTATAGCTCCAAGTGCAGCTATAACAAAGAGAAAATCGATTAAATCGGTAGAAATATTGAATTGCATTGAAGACGCTGATTATGACTAAAGATGTTTATCGTTAAATATGTTTAACGGTTCAGTGATAATAAATAATATACTGTAAACTCATTATTGTAGTTAGGTAAACCAAATTATATTCAATGATGGATGGGAAAACTGGGAAAACTTGCTACTTTGCTCAGTTGATATCAGCCCATAAGTATATGATTTATGCCCCAATATCAGTTATAGCATATACGCATGGACAACCCTCTTAAAATTATGTGGGGCTGATAATGTTTTCAAGGTTGTGCCAATTCACATGGTGAAAGCTCTAGAAAAACACGCGCGTCAAATAAAAACAATAACAAATAATAATAGCCCAACTTAAAGGCACAGTGATTACTCGAATAGCACAATTTCCCGATATAGGCATGGTTAACAAATGGGCAACGCATTCAAGGACTTGATAATAATATTCTCATTTTTCAAAACAGACCAGATTATTTTATTTATTTTCTGCTCTTGAACTTTTCTTTCCAAAAATAGAAGAAGAAAATAAGAAAAAATCATAGAAAACGCTTAGATAAAATGATGAATTTTTTAATTTCTTGCATAGCAAATAATAACTATTAAAGAATCCACTGTATAATAGATTATTGTTTAGCATTGTTCAGTTATATTATGTTGCCGCTACTAACTGCTTCCGTACACACAATTCTTGATAAGCAAAAAAGAAATATATTTCAATGGAAAACGATTATTAAATCTGCACATGTATTTTTTCAGTGGCTAAATCCAACTCTCTATGTGTGTGTGTGTGTGTGTGTGCTTATTTGTGGGGGCTACGTATGCTTTATATATATATATATATATGTATATACACATTTGTATCAGCTGCGATCACACGATCAACAATAATAACAACAACAGTATATGCATATCAGCTGATCGTGCCCAATAGTAGTGCTCTCTGATAAGAGAGTTGAAGTACGAGTCACTCAATACAATGAAAATAACAATAACTGTAACCACGGCAAGTACGAGAGGCAACCTCACTCACTATCCCTCCATCTCTCTTTCTCTCTCTCCGTCGCCCCCCACGAAACCAGCTCAGCTGGAAAAGCTTTGCGTGCGTGTGTAGAACTCTTGCCACGCCTCCACCTCAAATGAATGGCACGCGTCGCGTCGCTGCTAGTTTTGCTGGTAAAGTTTGACCGATGACGCGATGTGTGTGCTTGGACTTTGTATTCGCTGCTGGTGGGTGATGCGTTCGGTTCTTAACAAAGCGTTTCGTTAAGCTTTCAGCTGCACGTCTTTGTCATGACATTCTCTGAGCACAGAGCACAAAACAGCGTGAGAGAGAGAGAGAAAGCGTTCGCAAACAATAACAAAGTATTTTTACTTGTTTGTTTTTTTTTTTTTTTGATTTTGCGAAAAAGACTTAACCAATTCAAGAGAATGCACACCTGGGAATATCTTTGGGTAGTTAAAACATTAAAAAAAAAAAGGTGAACCCACTTGGACTTTGATATTAAGTACTATAAAACTACTTCTACGTATAGGCTTTGTTATAAAATAATAAAAAAAAGTGGTCTGTTATTCAATCAATTTTTTTTCGCGGCAAAGACAACTAAAAGCTTGCGGCAACTTTTTATAATTTATAAGTTTTTAGACACATGAATGAACTTGGATGTTGATTAATAATTATTTGTATTTATTTGATTATTAACTAATATCAGTCGACACAGGACTTTACAATAAGTAATAAATAAATTAAATTGAATTATAAACAAAATGCAATGCTTATGGAATTCATCAAGAAATTATATTATTGTTGTAGCAGTATGGGTATTTGTTTGTAAATGCAAAATAGATCAAATCTTCTTGCTTAAATATAGAAAAAGAATTTTGAAATCATGATAAAATTTGAAATGAGATCCACTAATGAAAAATGTTTTTATCTGCAGGCCAGGCTCATTACAAACCACCGATACCCTGTGGAGGAGCACACGGTGCACACATCGGATGACTATATACTCACCATCTATCGCATTCCCGCCTCCCCGAAGCGACAGCATCTGAACGAGACCATGCAGAAGAAGCCCGTCGTATTTCTGCAGCATGGCATCGTGTGCTCCTCGGATGATTGGATCATCAATGGGCCGGATACATCGCTGGCGTACATGTTTGCCGATGCCGGCTACGATGTGTGGCTGGGCAATGCCAGGGGTAATACATACTCCCGCCAGCACAAGCACATCCATCCGGATCAGTCGGACTTCTGGAAGTTTAGCTGGCACGAGATTGGCGTCTACGATTTGGCTGCGATGCTGGACTATGCCCTGGCCGAGAGCAACTCCAGTTCGCTGCACTTTGTGGCCCACTCGCAGGGCACCACCACCTACTTTGTGTTGATGTCCTCGCTGCCCTGGTACAATGAGAAGGTGCGTTCGGTACATCTGCTGGCACCCATTGCATATATGCGCAGTCACGGCTTCATTCTCTCCAAGCTGGGCAGCGTACTGCTCGGCTCACCCTCGTTCCTCAGCTGGGTGATTGGCAACATGGAGATGCTGCCCATTACCAGCATACAGAAGTTTATGTGCGAGCATGTCTGCTCCGAGGGCTCCATGCTCAAGTTTCTCTGCTCCGGATTGCTCGATTTTATTGGAGGCTGGGGCACCAGGCATCTGAATCATGTAAGTAATTGTATGAAATGGGCTAGCTATGTAAAAGACAAAGCGGACATATTTAATTACTTATTTTATTTATATATTTATTGAATGTCTTTAAAATAAATAAAATATTACTAATATACACTTAATATTTAATATTAAAATAAATAAAATTAGAATTAAGAAATTATTGAATGAAATTTGTCTATAGTATCACACAAATTCACATTGTACAACATATTTTTATATTTCTCGCTAGTCGAGAGAGAAATCTGCTATTTAAAAAGTAACTGACATTTTCGAACTCTTTTCAGACTCTGCTAACGGACGTTTGTGAGACACATCCGGCGGGTGCTTCAACCACACAAATCATTCACTATATGCAGCTATACAACTCGGGCGACTTTCGTCAGTACGATCATGGCAGGGAACAGAATGAGATAATTTATCAACAGGCGACGCCGCCATCGTACAATGTGCGCAATATAATGAGCTGTGTGAATATGTACTACAGTGACAACGATTATATGTCGGCTGTGGAGGATGTGGAGTATTTGGCCACATTGCTGCCATGCGCCGATCTCTATCGCATACCGTACAAGGACTGGAACCATTATGACTTCTTGTGGTCTGTCAATGTGAAAGAAGTGATAAATAACAGAATAATTGACAAAATGCACAGTTATGACATAGAACACAACATGGGCATCACTTTCTAATTAGTTTTATTGTGGCAGCATAGACAATCCCAGAAATGCAACAGAACTTAGCCAAATCCAAGAGAGGTACTCTTAATGTTAATACGTGTAAATAATAAGCGTTTGTGTGATATATTTGGTAAGCTGCAAAAGGTTTGTGAAATGCTTCTATAGCAATAATATAATTTTAAAAACTACAAAGTAAATACATTTTTTTTAAAACTACAACACGAATGTTTTAATTAACAGAATCAAAACGATAGTTGACTATCGATAGTTGGTTCACAGAAACTCCTTTAGTTAACAGAAATCTGAACCGCTAACAGCCAATGCAGTTAACAGGAGCTAACAATAGTCCCTTCCTTAACGGACAGTTAGCCTGATAATAACACTTTTCCCCACTTTGGTAACAGAAAATATGAAAAACAATAAAAAAAAACTGTTCTTTTTTTATTTGAACTTTTATTTGTTATCTGCAAATACATATTAAAGTATGTTTTGTGAAAATTTTCAGAAATATCGAAACTGTGACTTGCTGCCTAGCAGTGACGAGTAATCGGTATGTGCAAATCGCTCACCACTAATGTGTATTCTCTGAGTGTAAATCCAAGTAGTTCAATTTTTTCACAGTGCTGCTGCACAACAACAAATCGGTGCGCGTTAATTCCTCAAAATCAAATCGTTCACATTAATTGCAATATTATTAATTGGCGCACAAGACTTATGCATATGTAGCGAACGCACAATAATATTCCACATATAAAATGGGTAAGTAATGGTGCAAAACTATTTTATATTTATGTCTAAGCCGCAGAGCTGTGCCCCCTTCTCCTTCCTGTTTGCATTCACAATTAACTAAACCAGGGCTGCAACGCTGTGAATGCTGCTGCATCGAAAATGCAAGCAAGCCACAAATTCATCTAAAAAATTTTAAAATGTAAACTTTGCTTTGCAGCAACGCAAAAAATGCTGGTGGAAATAACAACGGATGGCGTGCCGAAGCTTCACTGTCCCGTCTGCAACAAGGCGCTCGTCTCGCTGGCCGGCTACGTGAAGCATGTAAAGAAACATGAGCCGCCGGGCGGCTTTCAGTGCCGCTACTGTGATGCCCACTACTGCCACGAGGAGGAACTGAAGCAGCACATCAAGGAGACGCACAGCGCTTTTGTTTGCCGTTTGTGCGTCAGTGGCGATGTCATATTCAGCAGCCTCGAGGAGCACGATGCCCACATCGAGGAACAGCATCAGGATAGCAAATTCGATGTTGATCTCCAGCCGCCAGCGCCTGTCAGCGACAAGCCTTTCAAGTGTGAGGTGCGTCTTACCACCAATTCCCTTCCAGGCTCTTCTTGGCTAGTTAACATTTTGTATATTTCACAGATTTGCGGCAAGTGTTTTGCGGATCGCGAGAGCAGCCTGAAACATCGTTCCGAGCACGCCAACTCGCTGCCAGTTGAATGCAAATGCTGCGCCATGCGCTTCTCCTGCATCTCCAGCCTGACCAAGCATCAGCGCAGACGTCCAGACACTTGTGGTCGCCCGGAGGCACACAAATATCGCAAACGCTGTAAGTCTTCCTCGCTTTATGTTAATCAGCTATGTTATGCCAATGTTATGCTGCTAATTTTAATGGCTAACATTACAGGATCATGTTAATTCGTTGAAATTTTATTTGTTATCTTTATTTTAATATCAATAATTGTTATTGCAGTAAGCGCGCCGACAGAGCCGCCAAAGGATGTGGTGAAGAAGAAACGGGGCAGGCCAAGGAAAGCCCAAGTCATCGCCGAGGATAGCGACGATGATGATGTGCCGCTGGCGAGCAGACTGAAAGTGACTGCGGCACCGGTGCTAAAGCAGGAAATCAACAGCCAGGAGCTTAGCGATTCGGCCGAGGAATACCCAGACTTTGAGCCGAACAACAGCGATGATGAGCCGGATGCAGCGCGTTTCAAGCTGCCAACGCCAGCGACCGTTAAGCAGGAGGCGATCGATCCGGACTTTGAGTACCAGGACGCGAGTCTGTTCGTTAAGGAGGAGGGCAGCGGCCTGGATATCTACAGCAGCGAGAAGGACAAGCTGCTCGATGTGCTGCTCAACCAGGACGAGGGCCTCAAGCCCTTCGAGAATCTGAAGGTGGAGCATGCCACCGGCAGCGGTATTCTCGATGAGATTGCGGCAGTGCCAATGCTCAAGCACAACGGCACCGAGCACATGGAGGAGGATGTGCTGGCGCTACGCGAAACGGACGAAGATGACGATGACAATGATAATGATGACGACGATGAGGAATTCATTGCTAGGGTGCCACGACAACGCCCCCTGACAAAATTGGGCGTAAAGCGCAAATATCGCAAACGTGGCGAGATGCCGAATGCGGGAACAACGACAGCGGGAGCGGGACCTCGACGTGTGGCAAAGATAACCAAAAAGGAGCTTAAGGAGCGCCTCAAAATGCTGAGTAAAATGGAAAAGTCGTGGAAGTGTCCGCACTGCGTCAAAATTTATCACATCCGCAAACCGTACGAGAAGCATCTGCGAGACGATCACAAACTCAGCGAGCTGGCCATCAAAGAGCTGTTCAAGGATGTGGATGCGCATGCCAAGCTGGACGACGAGGTGTTCAAATGCAAGATATGCAGTAAAATCTATTTGGTCGAGAAGCGACTGGAGACGCACATGAAGGTGCACGGCCAGGATGGCAGTCTGACGTTCAAGTGCCCGTGCTACTGCAATCTGTTCTTTGCCAGCAAGGAGCTGGCCACCCAGCATGCGCACGAGCTGCACAAGGAGCTGCTGTACTGCGAGAAGTGCGACAAGTATATGACCGGCCACGACAGCCTCAAGAACCACGAGAAGAACTATCATGCGCGCAAGGAGCCGCGCAATCTGCCCCGTAATCTCATCTGCGATAAGTGTGGCAAAAAGTTCACCGGACGCACTTCGCTCTCGGATCATGTGCGCTCCGAGTGCGGCCGGATGCCGCTGTACGAGTGCAAGGTGTGCAACAAGCGGCTGTCGACAGCTGGCATCCTCAAGACGCACATGCTGCTGCACCAGTCGGAGACACCCTATCAGTGCGACAAGTGCGGCAAAACGTTCAAGGTGAAGGCCCAATACAAATCGCATCTAAAGACGCGCCACACCGACTACAAGCCGTACAAGTGCCATGTGAGTGTTGCCTCCTTATCACTTCTTTCCAACTCTTTGAACTCTCTATTTCTTTTACTCCTCTTGCAGCTGTGTCCCAAGGAGTATCCATATCGCGAGAGCTTGCTTACGCACATGACCGTGCACACGGGCATCAAGCGTTTCCTGTGCAACAACTGTGGCAAGCGATTCACATGCATCTCTAATCTGCAGGCGCATCGCAAGGTGCACGCGGACACGTGCGGCCAGCTGCCGCTGAATGCAAAGGCCACCCAATATATGGGCGTGCAGCGGGGCAAGCTGTTGATGGGCGCCAAGCCGGAGGCGGGCATGGAATATGAGGAGACGAAAACGCTGATCGCCCAGGATGTGATTGATCGGGATATGCCGATGGCGCAGGAACTCAACTTTCCATCCGATGGCAGTGCACCGCTGGCCACCGTGCCCCTCAACTATGCCTCGTCGCATCTGGTGCCGCATATCGTGCTGCAGACCATGCAGGCCGAGGCCCGCAAATAGAATTCGATTTAGTTTCCTTAGGCTGCTATTGATTAAGCATACTAATAATAACTACAACTATAATGATAATAATAATAAAGACGCTTTTGTATATTCCATAATTGTTTAATAACTAACTAACTAATCTGTGGCTTAATTGAGTCGAAAATAGGGCTGCTGGAAGCGTCCGATTGGCATGCGTCCTTTGCTACGCAGTCGACGCACAGCTTCCCTGATAAACTTGGGCAGCAGTGCGCCCGATTCACCCTGTGCCTCCATCACGTCCAGGGCTGCAATACAAAGTGCACATTTAACATACCAATCTAATGTAATTGATATCATTTGAAACTTTTATCTAGTTACCCTCCTCGACAACCTCGCCGACAAACACTTTGGCTATGCCGGACATGGCGATAACCACATTCTGTGAGACGGAACACCCAGTTATGGTTTGCATCAGTCGCTTGACGGCCGCCTTGGGAAACGCCGATCGCCGATACATTTCATAGCGATCCAGTTGCTCCTCTGTAAAATTGGACACCAGCACTCTAAGAAACAGAAGAAAATGCAATTGTTGTATATATATATATATATTATATACATATATATATATATATGTGTGTGTGTATTTACTGCATGCGTTCACGTTCCTCCTCTTCGAGCTCCTTTTTGGTCTTTAGTTTCTTCTGCGATGGTTCGCCGGAGTCGCCATCGGCATCGGCATCGGTTTTGCTCTCCTTGCCGTCGGCATCTGTCTCGTTGCCATTGTTGTCCGCCGTGTCGGAGGTTTCACTGTCTTTGCGGCTTTTCGCGGATGTATTAAAGAACTTTAAATCGCCATCATCGTTGTCGCTTAAAGAGTTTTGCGTGGGAAACAGAATTTCATCCATTTTGTTGCAGGTAAACAGCTCAAAACAAGCTGTCGTTAATTTCCCAACACTGTTGCCATTGTGAACGATATATCGATATGAAAATTGCGAAAATTTTTTGCAAAATTCATTTAATTTCAAAGAATCAGTTAAATAACATTATATATAAGACAGTAATGCAAAAAAAAACTCGAACTAAGTTGGCCAGTTGATAAATTATACAGATAAAAGGTGACTCACTAGCACGATATAATTTATCGATGGTTAAGTGCAATGTATCGTATTCTTGGGTCTGATTAACATCACCAACCTCGTGTTCGCCTTTCATCGTCATTATTGCTTTCGGTAGCCGCAAATTAATTGAATAATTTTTGCAAGTAGAACAAATATGTCTGCAATGGAAGCATTGAACGTTGAGTCAGCCACTGCCGAAGTGACAGACACACCCCCAACTCCAGCCGGCGACGAAGCAAAGAAACAAAAGAAGCCAAAGCCGAACAACAAAAAGCTGCGACAAGGTAAGTGACCCGAGTCCATTTTGCATGCATCTCACACACATACACATATATTCTATATATGTATAAATATATATGTATATACATATGTACATTCATACATGCATATATCTCACATGCGCAATTCCAATGGTTAATAGAGGCGGCAGCTAAAGCTCTCGCCGAGGGTGGCGAACCGGATGCGACAAATGGCGATGCCGAGGAGAAAAAGGCGCCAACACAGCCGGCCAAGCCGAAGAAGAACAACAGCAAGGGTAAAAAGGGCGGCAACGGTCAAACAGATCCACCCACCATACCCATTTCGGATCTGTTCAGCAATGGCAACTATCCGGAGGGCCAGATAATGGAGTATCCGACGCCCAAGGATTTGCCGGATGATCGCACTGCCAAGGATCGATTTGCGTCCGAGGAGAAGCGCGCTCTCGATCGCATGAACAACGACATCTACATGGAGCTGCGCCAGGCTGCCGAGGCGCATCGCCAGACACGTCAGTATATGCAGAAGTACATTAAGCCCGGCATGACCATGATACAGATATGCGAGGAACTGGAGAACACCGCTCGCCGTCTCATCGGCGAGAACGGACTCGATGCCGGGTTGGCCTTCCCCACCGGATGCTCGCTGAACCATTGCGCTGCCCATTACACGCCCAATGCTGGCGATACCACGGTGCTGCAGTACGATGATGTGTGCAAGATTGATTTTGGCACCCACATCAAGGGACGGATCATCGATTGCGCCTTCACGCTGACATTCAACAATAAGTACGATAAGCTGCTGCAAGCGGTCAAGGAGGCGACCAACACCGGTATCAAGGAGGCCGGCATCGATGTGCGTCTATGCGATGTCGGCTCCGCCATTCAGGAGGTGATGGAATCCTACGAAATCGAACTCGATGGCAAGACATTTCCGATCAAGGCTATACGCAATCTGAACGGACACTCCATTAGCCCGTACCGTAAGCAAATTTCAAATCATTTACCGATTTACCAATTAACTTCGTCAGCCTGCCAACGTTTAAATACCCTTTCTCACTGCTTAGTAGAAGTCGGTTCCAATCTGTTGCAATCTTATTGAGTCTTTAAATAATAATTAATATTACTTAGAATATATTTTACTACGTTTAGTATTTGATTCTATAACCTTCTTTTGAAATAATCGCCAAATTATCGCCTTTTTGTAGAGAAATCTAACGGCCAAAAGCCTTTCACAGTCTCTCAAATCTCAAACTTATGGGCTGGATTAATGTTAGAAACGGTTTTTATAACTTCACTATACAAATACTCAATCGAGTTGAGAGCTGAAGACAATCCCATCATTTTGACTACTTTAGTCTTGAATGATTTTGCTGTACTTGAAGTCCTTGTCCAGTTAGAATGTCCAAGTCAAAAGGACTCGATTTTTATTTTGATTGTAACTGTGGACCAGCCTGAGGCAGATGCTGGTCAAGAATAAAATTACGATCCTCGTCGTCTCATGTTCTTCTCTTAAGTAATCTGTTTGGAATTCTTGCAGGCATTCATGCTGGAAAAACGGTGCCAATTGTTAAGGGCGGCGAATCGACTCGCATGGAGGAGGATGAGTTCTATGCGATTGAGACTTTCGGGTCGACGGGTCGCGGACTGGTGCACGATGACATGGACTGTTCGCATTATATGAAGAACTTTGATTTACCATATGTGCCGCTACGTCTGCAGTCTTCCAAGCAGCTCCTGGGCACCATTAACAAGCATTTTGGCACGCTGGCATTCTGCAAGCGGTGGCTGGATCGTGCTGGTGCCACCAAATACCAGATGGCACTGAAGGATCTGTGCGACAAGGGCATTGTCGAGGCCTATCCACCGCTGTGCGACATCAAGGGCTGCTATACGGCCCAGTATGAGCATACCATTATATTGCGACCCACATGCAAGGAGGTCGTCTCGCGTGGTGATGATTACTAGTATCGAATATGAAACGATCGATCTTCTATAACATCATTTCTGGCATGCATTATACATTTCTATATATATATGTTTGATTATGCATGACTGCAGTTTATAAGTTCAGCTAAGTTCATTCAATTGTTGAAATTTGTGTGAGTGAAAACATTTTGAAAATATATACTGTGCATTATGCTTAGCATTCACACTTGAAGAAATCTGTTCAAATTTTATTGCCGAAGGAAATATGGCACCATAAATCAAATCTGTATTTTCTAATATATTTTCTTTCTCATAAGTCAATTTAATCTGGTTTTTGTTGCGTTTTCACAAAAATATAGCAAGCTTATCTCTAGAAACAATTTTGGAACAATTCCTATAGGACTCTATAAATGTGTTAGTGATGTGTTACCTGGGTTAATATTTATTTTTATTATTATTTGTTTGAATGTTATTATTTTATTGAGAATCCTGCTCCAAGACACCTACACGACAACAGCTTATTGCTATTCCTTGGCTAAGCGTTAGACACGATTTTTTTAATGATGCCCTAAAGATTTATGGAGTGTGTTTTAATATAAGGACTGTGGACGTCAGTCCAAAATCAGGTCAAACAAATGGTACTCAATCCATTTCCGAGCTCTTTTGCCTTGTCCTGTTGGAAGACCCATAATAAAGGCATTACATCAAATACAATTTTCCAATCAAAAGTGATGATCCATAATTGTTTTAGTCCTATGCATCGCACCAACTCAATTATAAAAAAAAGCTAACTATGCCATTATGCTAGTTTTGTAAGCTAAATTTGAATTGTACATTGCAATCGATAGTCACCTTACAAAAGAAATAAAAACCTTTTCCAGCGCACAAAATAATTTTGTTTCTTTGACTGCTTTATTAGAAGTGATTCTTGTAAACTCTAACTTATAATAATTAAACTTCGGTCGCTGTAGCTTTATAGCCGTTGTCCCATTTTGGTCCCATGATGATCCTCTAATTGAATGTGCTGACGGAGGCGTCTAATGTCTTTCCCAATGCTATGCTTCTTGGCTTTGGATATTTCTGACTGAATCCAGCGTTGCCGAATAATGCTGATAAGATAATAAATTGTTCTGTCTAATGACATTTGATATAGTCTGTCATTAGTTCGAGTGCGTATTTGAGTGTGTGTGTGTTATTCGTCACAATAGTGCTTAACTTATTTATCCATTTCTCTTTTGGCTTAATTTAAGTGCTGCTTTGCAAAAGTGAAACTTCTCTTCGGTCTTATAGCTTATGTTTCCTTAAGTAACCTCAGACGGTTTCAAGTTATTTTTTTAAGTTAATAATAGAGACACATTCTTTTACTGCATTTGCCTACTCAGTCCACTCAAAGGCTGGATTGTTCAATTCTGTTTTGGTTCGAGTTGGCTTGGGATTCTTGAGGGCTCTGTAGTAGTAAACAAACCATTTGCCAGTTAAATAGTACAGAATTTCTATATAACTGATTATGCTGAAGCCATACATCAGCGACAGAATGCCGCCAAAACGATCTGTAAGGATTAAAATAAAATACAATTAATGCGAGATAGAGAAAATAGAGAGAAAGAAAATAAGTCTGCAATTCGCTTGGCACTTTTTGTGAATTTAAATTGAAGTAGTTTCTTAAAGCTAATTCAAGTGAGTATCAGCAAAAATCTACGATATTACTCAGCAATACAATCCAATCGCCGACCATGTCCATTTTTGTGGACTGCGCAAAGCGTAGCTTGTAGAACAACTTAATGATGGACAAGGGGCGATCATTATTCAGACCCTTGCTAGAAAGAAAACAAAAGGCTGGCAAATTACTTGAATCAGACATAATTGACAATTACGCACAGTAAACCATGGAAATAGCCGGATGAATTGTAGGTATTTCGTAGGGGAGCCGCGTTGCTGGCGATCTCAAAGTTGACACCATCGCAGGTGGGCAGACAATGGGCACATTGCGTCATGCTGGTGGTATCCTTTCCATCGCCCGGCTCCACAAACGGATACTCATTGTAGCCGAACCAAATGGTGCGCCACTTCATCAGGCAGGGCAAATCGAGGAGCGTGCAGTAGCTGACATTCACATTGGAGCTGCCCGTCAGGGGAGCGGAGGCGCAACCGCAGTGCTGCACCATGCTCTCAATCCGGCAGAGCAACAAGCACTCGTCCAAGGAATAATACGATCTACAAAATAGTAGTGATTATATTAACAAAAAGGAGTAAGACTCTGATTTAACATGATTATGTTAACAAAAAGGAGTCAATAACACCCACTGACTTAACATGATTATGTTAATATCACTCACTGATTTAACAGACGCGTGCCCTCCTCAGGAAAGTAACAGCGACGTATTTGAGGTGTTACGCCCCGCACTGCCTCGCTGGAGTCAAAGAATTTTGGCTGGATGGGCACTTCCACAATGGTATTGTGATCAACGAGTATTTCGCCATTATTATTGGACTGCACTGTGGCATAATCCTCCTTTGGGAATATCAACAGCTGAAAAGATGCAAAAGTAATACTTACTGGTAGTAAATTAACTGCAATTTCGTATAATAATAACGATTATAATATCTCGAAAATGTATGTAATTATATTTGTGTTTAATGCAATTGGTACACTTTGCACATGTTTCATGGTACATTTGTACCAGCCATGCGCCTAACGTAACGATGAGAAAAGTTACGTAGTGTGAATGAAAACGTTAAGCTCGCGTAAATTTGGATAAAAACAATTTTGTTGATAATTTATTTAATAGCAATTGTAGTAGCATATTTAATATATGAAAATTAAATTAGTATTTGTACATTTTAAGCGATATGTACTTGTACCAACTGTGAACGTAACGTAACATTAACATAAATGATATCGCTACTAATTTTCGGCGCTGTCAATCGACTAACGCGCCAGAAGAAGTACTATTTTTGTGTGAGTGCACTTTTATTCAAATTATTGAGTAAAATTACTAAGCAGACAATACGTAGAAGCGTCAAATAGAAAGAAATAAAAGTGCAGTAGGTTTTTTCTTAGCCTCTGGGCGCAAATGTGTCGCGTTTCGACCAGCGAACACTTGACTTCATTGCGGTAACATCGTGGGTAAATGAAAAACTCAGTCTTTTATGAGCATGCATGCATGGGTGTGCACAGGTACGCACCTCTTCTAATGGGTCTAGGGAGTTATGAATGTATGCGAAAGAAGCAACTATATTGTTTATACCGGATCGGTATATCAACCTTCAATTTGTGCGAAAATAGCAGCAACACTATGTCCTTGTCTTTTTGTGTGCGAGCTGCCAAAGCGGGGTGGTTTAACTGTTGACCAATTTTGTAATCATAGCCCGCAAAATGCATGGTGCAAATCTAAAACAGGGTATCATTGTCTCCACATACAAAATTCTTTGTTTCTCGACTCTTACACATACATATACGCATATATGCAAAGATAGGTTGCAACGGGATCATGTCGCAGTGCGCAGACGGCTGTTAGAACCAACAATTTCGCATGTCGAGACAATGATACCCCTTTTATGATTTGCAGTAGACAATGTCGTTAGAAAACAGAGCTACACATGGCAATTTCAGCTTAACAAACATGGAAGTAGATTCTTTCGCATAGATTCTTAGAAGATGTGTTAATAAAAAGTTCAATAGTTGACAGTCACAGAACTGATCGAAAGTTAAACTCATGGGAAGGAAATCTAATTCAATCTATTACAAATCGATAATCTGCTTAACGGTGCAACTCACCCGAAATGCCGTATTGCTTAGATAGATCTCGGTGTGGTCATCTGGCGTTGTATCCTGCAGCACAAACTGTATGCCATTTAATATGGAATTCGACTCGAAGACAACCTCCGGCATAGCCTTCATATCAGCATTGTGCTTGGCGCGCTGTAAACTGCCCAACGTACAAATTAAGCAATGTTCATTTTAACAATTAAAACCCTCTTTTCAGGTTGCAAAAAAACTTTTCTGCTGAGAGCCAAAAAATTAATTAATTAATTAATATATAAGCCTTAACAAGTACACTTTTAATAGTACACTTTTTTTTAAAATAATTTAATCTATTTTTCTTTCACAATTTAATGCTTTTCGATTGGGAAATGAAGGATTGCCGAAGACTATCTTCAAAATATGTAAATTAGGTTCTTTAGACACAGTTCACAAAATTTGTGGATTTCAGTTTTTCGCAAAGTGTTTTACACTGTTATTTTTATATGGAGTTTTCCATGATTGTTAACTACTTTTTGCGAACTGAAAAGAGGTTTTGGGGCAAACTTTGTTTACTCACGGATATTGAGAATAGCTGGGACGGCGATAATTATATATGCAGCACACACTCGACGATGTTGTCCGCTTGACAAACAGTTGACTTGCGTTCACAGGCACGCCAAAGACGATCCCACGGATGACCAGGTCGCCACAGTCTGGCGACAGGCTCCTCACAATGTCATGCACCGAATAACCGCTGCCATTGTAGTAGCTGTTGAGCAGCCAGTGAAGTTGACCCAATTCGGCGACATCCAACGGCGCCTCGTCGTACGCATTCAGATAGAATTTGGTCAGCACCAGCAGGCGGCGAACCAAATCGTTCACAGTCGGCGTAAATTGCGAGGAGTAGTCGCTGCCATTGCGGTGCATGGACTGGTGCTGATAGCTGTCAATGAAATTAGCATTCAAGTTGAGAACTTGAGAGTTGGTATCGCGAGTGCCCGACTCGCAGATACCCTCTAGCCAACTTCAAGCTGCACGCTCATCCTCCCGATGCTGGCCACATTCAAAAGTGTGGCTAATAAGTGAAACCTCTTTGGAGTTTTATTTTTGGTTAAGTTATTTATGACTTAAGCGAGTGTCAATCTTGATTGCAAAACTTGCTATTTTCACGCTACATTTTAAATTTTACAACGATCGCTGGCAGCTGCATTACCTAGATAATGAACATAGATTTTTTTGCTGTGCCATAAATAAGATTTACCCAATTGACATATCAGCAAAGGCTATCGCAAACCTTCCAAAGTCTACAAACTCACGCCTATAAAAGCGAACCAAACAACGACTTCGAATTTAGAACAACGACAACCATGTCGCTGAACAAGTCGCTACTGTTAGCCCTGTTGGGCCTCTTGGCCACATTTGGATTAAGTCAGGCGGAGCGAGTTCGCTACGACAACTATCGCATGTACAAGGCCAATGCGGAGAATGTCGACCAGCTAGCTGTGCTCAAGGATCTGGAGGGATCTAGTGACTCCATCATATTCCTGGATGGAGTTCACATTGTTGGCGCTGATGTGCAAATGGTTGTTGCCCCACACAAGGTGCCTGATCTGCTAGAGGTGCTGGGCAGGGCTGAGATCAAGTATGAGTTGAAGTCAAAGGATTTCCAGAAGTCAATGGATGAGGTCGAGGAAAAAGTTGCCATCAAGGGTCGCGCCGTTGAGGACTACAACTGGGCGCAGTACTATGAACTGGATGACACCTACACCTGGATGAGAAACCTGGCCATGAAGTACCCTCAAGTTGTCACCCTGATTGAGGGCGGCAAGACCTATCAGGGACGTTCAATTCTGGGTGTGAAGATCTCCAAGAGCCAGAGCGAGAAGCCCGGCATCTTCCTCGAGGGTGGCATTCACGCCCGCGAGTGGATTGCTCCAGCTGCAGCCACCTATATAATCAATCAACTTCTGACCTCCAACGTGAACTCCATCAAGGAGTTGGCCGATAACTACAACTGGTACGTCTTTCCCCATGCCAATCCTGATGGTTATGTCTACACTCACACCAAGGATCGCATGTGGCGCAAGACTCGTACTCCTTATGGCAGTTGTTTCGGCGCTGATCCTAACCGCAACTGGGCCTTCCACTGGAACGAGGTGGGTGCCAGCAACAGCGCTTGCTCGGACACTTATGCCGGTCCGTCGGCCTTCTCCGAGATTGAGACCCGATCGCTGTCCAACTACATTGCCTCGCTGAAGGGCAAGATCCAACTGTATGTCTCCTTCCACGCCTACTCGCAGTATCTCCTGTATCCCTATGGACACACCAAGAGTTTGCCCGACAACGTCAAGGACTTCAAGCAGGTATTCAATGCAGCCATATCGGCTATCTCCAAGCGCTACAATACCAAGTACACTGGTGGAAATATCTATGATGCCATCTATCCGGCAGCTGGCGCCAGTGTTGATTGGGCCTATGGCACTCAGGATGTGCGCATGTCCTTCTGCTACGAGCTGCGTCCCTCATCTAACTCCTACATTACAGGCTTCAAGCTGCCTGCTAACCAGATCGTGCCCGCCAGCGAGGAGGTCTTGGACTCAATTACCGCCATGGTTGGCGAGGTCAAGAAATTGGGCTATTTCGATTAGAGATTTGAGAAATAAACGACTCACATTTTGGAGGCATAGCCTTGCATTAAACGCTTGCTGATCATATTTGAGCGGCAGACGCCGACGGCGGGAAATGGGCTGTTGGAGACATGCACCAGATTGGGTGCCATGTGAATTTCAGTCGGCTGGTCGATGTACTCGATTGTCAGGTTGACGATAACGATGTGTGTCCAGACAACAACCACAGCAAGAAACGCCAGCCAGAAAGCTCTGTCAATAGAACAATATATATAAATAATTGGGTTAGTTGGGAATTGGGCCTTGTTTCTTTCTCACTTGGCATATTGCACGGGCGTGTGGAGCAGCAATGGTTGTAATCCATTGATATAACTGTGACGCAGAAATTCTCTAAAGAGTCTCCGATAACTGAAGTCATCCACTTCAGATAGTTGGGCCATAGTGCTAATGGCCACTAAATGGAATGAAAGTCGTCCAATCATTTTATAGGGCTGTCTGTGACAAAGCTCATCAATCAACGCGCCTAATTGAAATGTGTCACAGCAGTTGAGGAGCTGTCAGAGAATGATGACCAGCTCGTTGATTGATGAGCTTCAATATGCATGTAGAAAACAAAAGCAATCTCAGGAATACTGGGGAAATATACACATATTAAATCATTTCAACCATATAAAAAAGTAATTTTATTTAAAATTTCAAATAATAAATAATACAAAAAATGAATAATAAGATAACGCTTTGATTCTGTGGGTGCCCACAATTAATAATTCTATCATGCTATATTCCAGTCATTTTGGATCCAAATATTTAGTTCTTGAAATGTTTTGCTTAGCTAATCGGCGAACAAAATAAACATATATAGTTTAGTTTATAGACTGCGAGTCATTCAATAAAACACAGTTAAGCCCAAGTGCTTTATGTATTTGTTCTCAAGAAGTATAGTAAAATGTCTATAAAATCATTTTGTTAATGCTTAAAGTATTTGCGGTGATTTATACTTCAGTAATCGTGGCACTGATAACGATTTAGATAACGATTTAGATGCAGATAACTCCAATATTTATGCTTCCAAGAATGGACACTTTAAGCCGAAGGGTTATAAATAAGATTTGGCTATCAAAAAGATTTGGCGCTTATCAAACACGTTCACTATCAACAGCCATCGACTATATAAGCCAATCTAACACGATTGTCTAATTTAGAACAACGACAACCATGTCGCTGAACAAGTCGCTACTGTTAGCCCTGTTGGGCCTCTTGGCCACATTTGGATTAAGTCAGGCGGAGCGTGTTCGCTACGACAACTATCGCATGTACAAGGCAAATGCGGAGAATGTCGACCAGCTAGCTGTGCTCAAGGATCTGGAGGGATCTAGTGACTCCATCATATTCCTGGATGGAGTTCACATTGTTGGCGCTGATGTGCAAATGGTTGTTGCCCCACACAAGGTGCCTGATCTGCTAGAGGTGCTGGGCAGGGCTGAGATCAAGTATGAGTTGAAGTCAAAGGATTTCCAGAAGTCAATGGATGAGGTCGAGGAAAAAGTTGCCATCAAGGGTCGTGCCGATGAGGAATACAACTGGGCGCAGTACTATGAACTGGATGATACCTACGATTGGATGGTGAGCTTGGCTAAGAAGTACCCTCATGTTGTCACCCTGATTGAGGGCGGCAAGACCTATCAGGGACGTTCAATTCTGGGTGTGAAGATCTCCAAGAGCCAGAGCGAGAAGCCCGGCATCTTCCTCGAGGCTGGCATTCACGCCCGCGAGTGGATTGGTCCAGCTGCTGCCACCTATATAGTCAATCAACTTCTGACCTCCAACGTGGACTCCACCAAGGAGTTGGCCGATAACTACAACTGGTACGTCTTTCCCCATGCCAATCCTGATGGTTATGTCTACACTCACACCAAGGATCGCATGTGGCGCAAGACTCGTACTCCTTATGGCAGTTGTTTCGGCGCTGATCCTAACCGCAACTGGGGCTTCCACTGGAACGAGGTGGGCGCCAGCGACAGCGCTTGCTCGGACACTTATGCCGGTCCGTCGGCCTTCTCCGAGATTGAGACCCGATCGCTGGCCAACTACATTGCCTCGCTGAAGGGCAAGATCCAACTGTATGTCTCCTTCCACTCCTACTCGCAGTATCTTCTCTATCCATATGGACACACTGGTGATCTGCCTGACAACGTCAAGGACTTCGAGCAGGTCTTCGACGCAGCCATATCGGCTATCTCCAAGCGCTACAATACCAAGTACACTGGTGGAAATATCTATGATGCCATCTATCCGGCAGCTGGCGCCAGTGTTGATTGGGCCTATGGCACTCAGGATGTGCGCATGTCCTTCTGCTACGAGCTGCGTCCCAAATCGAGTTCCATCCTCACCGGCTTCAAGCTGCCTGCGGAACAGATCATACCCGCCAGCGAGGAGGTCTTTGACTCAATTTTCGCCATGGTTGGCGAGGTCAAGAAATTGGGCTACTTCGATTAAATAAATTCCATCATTTAGTTTCTGAGTGATTATATTTTTGAATTGATTTGTGATTCACATTTTTGTTGTTTCTGGTTTTATTCCCTTCTGTAATAATTAGTTAATTAGGCATAAATAATGACAGTTTTTGATCCGGTGGATTACTTTCATAACAATAGATAAAATAGATGAGACCACCTATCTCATAAACCAGTTTATGTTTAGTCTATTTATATCCAGGTTTAATGATAATACTCAAGTATTGGATGAATCGCAATTGTGTTGATGCGGCTTAGTCTCGATCTCGATTGATGTAGTTAAACATGGGTCGAAATGTTAGAAAGTAGACAAACTCAAAGGCAGTCACAATGCTGAAGCCAAGAATGAGACCCAGCAGGCCACCAAATGAAGCTGTCGATTAATAGACCAAACAAATAATTAATTTTCATGAAAATTGCAAAACTCACCTAGAGCGGAGAGCCAATTCTGAAAGATCTCCATGCGATATCTGGTGGACATCAAATCGCTGTAGAAAACATGCACCAATATGCTATCTGTTTGATTGGAACTATAGATGGAAATGGGTTAAATCCGATTTGGAGGACTCATGCTCAAGTTCCTCACTTGCTGATCACTTTCTTATCCAGTCTGCCAATGGTGCTCTCTGAAGCATAAAGATTTGACTGACAGTCGGGTAGACAATCACAGGGAAAGCTGATCGTGTGCCGCACTATGGAGATCGGTGAGTCCAGATTGCCCAAAGCACGAGAAAAGAAACCTGCAAACGAGTAGCAAATTTTAATATTATTCAATTATGTTTCCTAAACGACATACTCGATACTCACGCTTGCTTTCGATCATGCAGTTCAAGTCAAGAATTCCGCAGATCTTGGCGGTGCCATTGTGTGCCAGATAGGCGGGCAGGCAGCCGCAGCGGCGCAGAGTCATCTGCATTCGGCACATGAACATGCAGTTGATGAAGGAGTAGCGTCTGAGGCCATCCAAGGTTCGTTCAGCGCCGAACATGCAGTTCCTCCAGCGAAAATCCATTTGCCGTATGTCCCGGGTGGCATACGTCGATTCCGGATTGATGCGAACGAAACTCTCACGCGTGGATGTGACCATCTTGGTCTCCGCGTTCTCATCGGGATAGTTGTACGCATCGTGGATGAGCAGGCGAAACCCAAAGCCACTGAAGAAGGTGCCATAATAATCGGCGACCATGGGATCCAGCAGCACTGATAGGCCAGTGGGATAACCACAGCCAGTAACCCGATAAGGACGCTTGGGCACCTGGTAAGCAATTTTACTATAACAGTCGACGCACAAAGGAAACGAATTGAATTAAATTGAATTTAGAATAAAATTCTAAGTTTAATATTTATAAATTAAAAAATAAGAAATATTTATACAATTTCTGGTGGTATTCAAATGCAAAATGGTCCAAAATTTTGGAAACCACCCAAAAAAAAACTAATAAGACCAAAAAAAAATTTAATTTAGAATTGAGTTCATAATAACAAGTTATAATTAGTAGTAAAACGATTAAGAAAAATATAAAATGTTATATGCTAGACACAAGATTATTTTCTGTCTCGTTGATTATAAATATTATTTATGTCTTCATCATTTTAAATGAGGAGTCAATATATCTATCTTCTCAAGTTATACCTATTCTACTCACATGGGAAAATTATTGGATGTGGCACCAAAGTAATTGAAACTACAGCAGATACCCTGTAAAGTGAATACACGCTGAAAGAGACTCTCACAGCGCGTCTTGATGCCCTTCCACACACAGCGTGAGATCATGTCCAGGCAGTCGGGTGACAGGCGATTCATTAGCTCCGTTAGAGTCATGTTATTCAGGCTCAATATCCTGTCATAGATCGCCAAGGAACTGTTGCTAATAGTCGTTCCCACGGACATAAGCGTTAAGTTAAAGAGTTCCCGCAGATGCTCCTTTGTGGCACTGGGTGGCAGTTGCCTGAAGAGGTGTGAGACATAAATTAATTACTAGCTACCTCAAAAAAAATGTATGAATTACAAAGTTTTTCTTCGTTTTAGAAATAATTTCTAAATGTAGCAGAACATTTTTCTAGCAATACGAAAAATTGTGCTTTTTATAATTTTGTAAATATTTTCTACAATTAAGAAATTAATTTCCAAGAAGTACAAATGTAAATCTCTGCGAAACCTTTAATTTTAGAAATTTACTTACATCTAAATTTTTTTTCTGAGTGTACTTCAATATATTTAGATATTCAGTCTTTACTCACAGTTTCTGCAGCAAGTCGGTCGCTTTAGTCTTCGAAACTCGGTTAAAATTGCAAATGGTGACCGCGGGAAAGGGTATGTTCCACGTGGGAAAATGTGAGCTCTCGATGACCGTAACCGTTGGCGTCTCCCGATTCGAATACCATGATACCAAGACTAGGGTTATTGCTGCGATGATGGCCGCAATGACTACACCCAGCCAGAAAAGGCGCTCATTGCGACTGATGTCCTGTCGCGTGATATAGCTGAATCCATGGAGCGATGTCGTCTGGCAGTAATTGCGCAGATTATCCATAAACCAACTGCGCACCTCTCGCAGCTGGCACAATTTCAAGCGCCGCCGACTGCGATTTGTTGGGGCGCCAGCCTGCGAATGAAAGGTGCTGCTGATCCTGCTGCGATTCGCCGGGATCTTAGCTAGATTCTGCTCGGTTTGCACCAGTCGCAAATCGAAGATGCGTCGCTTCTTAAACGCCATGCCGAACACATCCAACTTGCTGCGACAACTGCTCGAAATGTGTCCATTAGCTGCCGCCTAATTAGCTCGTCCTAATTACCCTTTGCTGCTGCTGCTGCCAGTTGACGACGACGTCGCCGTCGCAATCGATAGCGTATCTGTTGTCGGGTCAGCCAATTACAAGTGGGTCGAACACACACAAAGAATATCAGCTCAAAGACCGACACGAAACTGCAGCCCATAAATAGACCAGTGATGCCGCCAAAGGTGCCTGTCACATTAGCATTGATATGTATACATCATTATTATTACAATTACAGTGCAACTTGGCTATAATTAACATACATATGTATGTTTTTACTTATTAGGATACATTTTTCTAGCTGTTGGCAGCAGCAGCAGCAACATAAAGCCATCAATTTTAGCCATTAAAATAATGGTTTCTTTATTTGTAATTTTAGTTGTTTACAATTTTAAAAATAACTATTCTTGTTATACGCTGAGCCACATATTTATGTATATATATATACATATATATATACTTGATCTACTAAATTTACAATTCAGTCCTCGCAAATCCTTACTATATGCATTCGCTTTTTTTCTACTTCGGTTTTAAGAAAAACATTTCTAAGAAGTAAGCATTATTAATTAAGAAAACTATTTCTTAGAAGTGAAAATTCAAACCTCAATTTTTAGGAAAAGCTCTTTCAAATTAAATATATGCATTTTATGAAGTCAAAAATAAAACTAATGTTTAAAGCAATATAAGGAATACAAAAAAATATGGCGATTTATTAAAATCGATGGCGATTTTCTTATGATTGTTTTTTTAATAATAAAATTAATTTGTTTTAGCTCCAAAAAGTAATTTTTAATTCAAACGCTCATATCTATCTTAATATGTGTCTAATTGCCGTTTTCACGTAAATTTGGCATAATATTTAAAGAAAAATAATAAATTTAACGTTTTTAAGGATATTTGGTTCCGAAACTGTCATTTCGGGATAATAATAAGAATAAATAAAATCAGTTCAGGCAGTTGGGTTTTCCAGTTGGGTTTTTTTTCGGTTTTGATGCCGAATTACAATCGGTAAAAATACAATTCCGTTTTCAATACCTTGCTTGCCACTTACCTATAAAACTCAGCCAATTCTCAAAGACATCCAATCGCAGCTGTTCGGCGTTCAACGAGTCACAATAAATGTGCAGCAGCAGCTCGTCCGAGGCATTCAAGTTGTTACTGTTGTGGTTAAAATGATATATACAAATGCAGATACGATAAATATACAATATTTGGGTGCACTTACTACAAGGCGTCATTGGTGGGGGGCGCGGCTTGGCTGGCATCTAGAGCTGCCACATCAGTGTGCACTTCATAACGGTTAAACTGACAGGGTGGCAAGCAGTTGCAGAGGCTCTGCAACTGATCCCAGCTAATTACTATGTAGAAAAAAGAGTTCAAACTTTGAAGTGGAATTTTGATTACATGTTTTTTTTTATAAATATAAGCATGAGCTATGAGTTAAAATCGGATTAAATTTTAAAAATTCGCATTACTTTTGCCTTTCTTAATTTCGGTTTGGATTTTTCTACAATTTATAACAAAGATATGTCTAATTTCCAGGGAAATATGAGAATTCGCATATTCGTTTTATTTATCTTGTTATTTATTTTGTGACGATTTTTGTAGGGTGCACTCACCCTGCTGCTGAAGACATTGAAGCTGTGCCAGTTGGCACAAAGTCCAATGCGATCTCTTAGGCATATGCGGATGCACACAGCCGCAGATGTGGTAGACTCTTTCGCTGTGGCACTCTGCCAGGCAATTGTCCTGACTGTAGGCAGGGAAAGAGAATAGCGAGCGCTCATTGCTCAGATAACAGCCGCGGGTGTTGGGCTCCAGGCTGTCCAGATAGGCTGTGGCATGTGTGCTGTAGGGCTTTAGCATCAGATGCACCTCCGTGCCACTCGGCACAAGTACGCGCTGCGTGGCCGCATCAATTGAGGTGTGTGCCTCATGCAGCAGCACCTGGAAACCCGTTGCTGCCGTTGCAGTGCTGCCATAATCCTCAATTTTGGTGGCCAGACGCAGAGTTAGACTCGTGGCAGGATTATCAGATGTCTGTCTAAGGCTGCAGCAACGACCCTCTGTGTAGCTCCAAACGGTTGTCATTAGTTGCTTGCAACTTTGCGGATTCCACCCCAGCCATTTACAACCAATCAATTGTTGCTCACAAATCTGTGGCGACAACTGCTCCAATAGCTGCGACCAAGTCTCATTTTGGTCACTCAACTGTTTGATTAGAGTCTGATTAATGCCAGGCGAGCTTCTGCGACTCAGCCATGGCAGCTGCTGTAGCATTTGCACGGGCACCGACCACTTATTGGCTCTGATCGACAGCTGCTGTTTAGAGATGCGATTTAGACCACATATTGTTATGGCTGGAAGGGGCAAACGATTGGCGGACAAAGGCTGCATCATGCTCTCAATATAGCTTCTGGTTGGCGTCTCTGCCGACATGCCGTAGGACATGATCAGGACGAGGAGGGACAGTAGTATCGCCACACAGATCAAGAGCCACCATAGCACACGCTGCCAGGTTTTTGCCCCAACAAATACATGGAAGCCATGTATGCTCGACATTTCACAGTAGATCTCAAAGCCCGTCTTCGACTTGCACAGTCCATCATCGTTGCGAGCACGCAGAAAGTTGAGGAATCGCGGCAGCGGCATCTGTTCCACATTCTTGGATAATTTTATGTGCGCTGTGCGCCACCATCTGACTAATTTCCATCTTTGTAGGGTTTTTTGAAGTTTGAAGCATTTCGTTTCGGGTTTTTTTGCGGGCTTATCAAAGCATTGTAGTGGCGTTATCTTATGCGGTCTCTTAGGCCGCAAATAATTCTCAAAGTTGATTAGATAGATCGGCTGCGAACCTAGTTTCTTGGCTATTGGCATTTTTTACTCTGTTAATCAAATCTTTTTACTCTGTTTGCTGAGCAGAATGGCGTATTCAGTGAACGATTTCACTTTCTAATTCACAGAAGTAAAGCACACAAAATTTAAGCTCCTCGACACTTCCTAGTCCAAACTATTTTCAATTTCCAATTGTTCTTGTTTTATATATATAGGCCCACCAACCATGTCAAGGCCTCTCCTCGCTCCAAGACACGTAACACGCGTTACACCCACTATAGTAATTTGACTCCGTCACGCCCTTCACTTGTAGTACATTTCGCTATCATTCGCTGCTCCATTTATAATCAGTACAACTCATCAATGATTATCTTACAAGCAAAAAAAAATGAATAAAATAATAACAGAAAAGAATAAAGACAATTAGCCATTTGCTTATATGTTTTTAGTTAAAGAGCCACACAAGCGATAAGCTTTTTAAACAATTAACAATAGAAAATTGTTTACTGCAAAATATTATTTTCTATTCCTACAAAGTTACTGCGGTTATTATGCATTAATTAACTAACAAAATGACTATTTCTTGTTGTTATTATTATTTGAACTAGCTAAGCTCCATCTAAAAGGAAAGGCAGGCATTGAAAATACTCTTATATTATATATTCTAGCCTGAGTCTATTTCCCAAGTGTCATGTACCTTGATATTGTATAAATACAAGATATAACAGTACACAAGATTGAAAAAATATTTCAGTATCAACATTTGTCTTTTACATACTATATTTTCATATATATTTATAATCCAAACAATCTATTTTGTGTGTTAATAAGATTAATTTCCTTTCTGCACGTAGTTTATTCGTTGTCTATAAAAAGTTAATTTTGCTGTTGATTTTTATTTCATTAAAAGTCCAGCTGAAATATACTCTGATTGTGAGTAATTTGCGGCATCAATATGAAAATTAGTTTATTAAGTTGCTTCACAAGTAATGGAAAAATATTTTGAATTCTTTGAAAGGAATGATTTGTGGCCCTGAAAAGGGCCTTTTGCTGCTAACTGGTTTTCTGCCTGCAATTTACTTGGAGCTAGTGTACTTGGTGACTGCTTTGGTTCCCTCACTGACGGCGTGCTTAGCCAACTCTCCGGGCAGTAATAGACGGACAGCAGTTTGGATTTCCCGACTTGTGATGGTTGAACGTTTGTTGTAGTGGGCCAAACGAGATGCCTCGGCAGCAATACGCTCAAAAATATCATTCACGAAGCTGTTCATGATGCTCATTGCCTTTGACGAAATGCCTGTGTCAGGATGGACTTGCTTCAACACTTTGTAAATGTAGATGGCATAGCTTTCCTTCCTCTTGCGCTTCTTCTTCTTGTCATTCTTGGTGATGTTCTTTTGAGCCTTGCCAGCCTTTTTGGCTGCCTTTCCACTAGTTTTCGGCGGCATTCTTAATACTTATTCACTTCACTTTGATTAACTTCACAATGTGTTCAGCACACCGAAAATGCTTATCATATATACTCTCGTTTGAACGACGCTTTCATGTTAAAATCCACCACTACGCTCGAATTACTGCGCAGCTGTTCATTCCTAACCTGAAGAAGTAGGTGGCTGAAAAACTATAAATACAATGACGGCTTGTTTGTCGGAATCATTCGGTATTTGATATTTGTGTGTTGAGAGTGACTAATTTGTGAACTAAATAACAATGTCTGGTCGTGGTAAAGGTGGAAAAGTAAAGGGAAAGGCAAAGTCGCGTTCCAACCGCGCTGGACTCCAGTTTCCCGTGGGTCGTATTCACCGTCTTCTTCGCAAGGGCAACTACGCCGAGCGTGTTGGTGCCGGTGCTCCTGTGTACTTAGCTGCCGTTATGGAATACTTGGCCGCTGAAGTCTTGGAGTTGGCTGGCAATGCTGCTCGTGATAATAAGAAAACTAGGATTATCCCTCGCCATCTGCAATTGGCCATCCGCAACGATGAAGAGTTAAATAAACTGCTTTCGGGCGTTACCATTGCGCAGGGTGGTGTTTTACCCAACATCCAGGCCGTTCTACTCCCCAAGAAGACGGAAAAGAAGGCATAAACTACCAGACTACTCTCAAATAGCATGTACATATGTAAAAAAAAAACTCAATCAAACGTCCTTTTCAGGACGACCAAAATATGTAAAAGAGATTTAATTTTTCATTGACTATATTTGAATTCCCACGGTCGAAAACCCCCTAAAAGAAATGTAAGAAAAGTACAGTTGGTGTCAAAACAGTATCATCTACCTGAGGAGTAAGGGTATTTCCTACTTTTTGCTCTTCGCTGTGAATTGTGTTTTTTTTTTACTTACATTCACCGATAGACTCCTCCTTAAGAAACCATTTCTTTTAATTTTTAAAGTAAATTTAATTTAATTATATAATTTTATTTAATTAATTTGCTACATTTAGTATCTTTCTGCTGACATTAAATAAATAGATAGTAGCGTATTCTTGGCTGACGCTTCACTTGCTTTTTAAGTGGATGTGATGTGTGTGATGCCATAAAAGCAAATATTAAGCGCATGACATTTGCCAACGACCATACTACGCTGAATACATCGGTTCTCGTCCGATCACCGAAATTAAGCAGCGTCGGGCGCGGTTAGTACTTAGATGGGGGACCGCTTGGGAACACCGCGTGTTGTTGGCATCTATTTGGTGTTTCAACACTTTTTTTGTTAAATTATTTGTATTTTATAAAGCAATGCTAAATAAAAGTATATTTCAGGTGCATATTACTTGGCTAGATATTGAATATTTTTCATCTCTTTTGAGTAAAGATTTGGTGGTCCTGAAAAGGACCGATTGGTATGACTGCACTTGTACATATTTGTATTTGGGATTTAGTTTTTAGCCGCCAAAACCGTATAGGGTACGGCCTTGTCTCTTCAGCGCATAGACAACATCCATGGCAGTGACCGTCTTCCTCTTGGCATGCTCGGTGTATGTGACCGCATCGCGGATAACGTTTTCCAAGAATACCTTTAGAACACCACGAGTTTCTTCATAAATGAGTCCTGAGATACGTTTCACACCACCACGACGAGCTAAACGACGAATAGCTGGCTTCGTGATGCCCTGGATGTTATCACGCAACACTTTGCGATGACGTTTAGCGCCGCCTTTACCCAAACCTTTGCCACCTTTACCACGACCAGTCATTTTTCACTTTTAATTCACACTTTACACCACGAATGCCAGAAACAAAGTAATGCTGCTTCGTCGCAAGCGCTTCTATTTATACCAAAAAGAGCAAACTCTTGAGCGAGTGCACAGATATTTCTATCCCGCTCACACACTACCCTCGCTTAACGAGCAGTTTTCTATATAAATGAGCAGCAAACCAGCGGACGATTATTGTGTTTTCAACAGTGAGAGTGTAAACAGTGTTATAGAAAGAGAAAAATGGCGCGTACTAAGCAGACTGCTCGTAAATCGACGGGAGGCAAGGCTCCTCGCAAACAGTTGGCAACTAAGGCAGCACGTAAAAGTGCTCCAGCAACCGGTGGTGTGAAGAAACCTCATCGCTATCGTCCCGGTACAGTTGCACTGCGTGAAATTCGTCGCTACCAGAAGAGCACAGAGTTGCTTATCCGCAAGCTGCCGTTCCAGCGTTTAGTACGCGAAATTGCTCAGGACTTCAAGACCGATTTACGTTTCCAGAGTTCGGCTGTGATGGCTCTGCAAGAAGCTAGCGAAGCCTACCTAGTTGGCCTATTTGAAGACACGAACTTGTGTGCTATCCATGCTAAGCGTGTCACCATCATGCCCAAAGATATCCAACTGGCCAGACGCATTCGTGGCGAACGTGCTTAAATTGTAAATTGTAAAGCATCAATTGTAACCAAATCGGTCCTTTTCAGGACCACAAAATACTTTCAACAAAGAGATTTGAGTTTTCATAAATAATATTTGAATGAATAATTCAGCTATTCAGGCTTTAAAAAACGTTTAGATATAATTAGGAAATATTACAGAAGATAATTATTGCGAAATGTTTTACTCAATATACATAAATATATTATTTACTGTATTACAATCAGTATGTAAATAGCAAAGCAAGAAAAGCAGTAAATATTTTTCGAATTGCAATTACAATAATGGATTCCCTTTTGAAGAAATGTATATAAATAAAGATTCAAGTTGCACATCTAATGTGTTGCTCGTGATTATATTACTTTCAATTTTGATGTGAACATGCAGTTCATATAATATTTTCTCATTCGATCCGATATATATGTTTCTTTAGAGAGACATGTCGTAATCTGATAGACAACAATGATATAAATAAAGAATAATGTGACTTTTAATAAGTTGCTCGCTTGATACGAGTATTGTGGTCATCTGGATGTTGCATGTACAATTCATCTGTAATCGTTTGATTTTGGTATTACAATAATTATCAAACAGATGTAACTGAAGTTAATATACATGTAATATATAAAATAAGTAGGTATTAATTATTCAAGAAGAATTTATATGTTTTCGATACATTTTTCTCTTGTTGCTTGCACTCCAAGCTAGTCAATTTTTTACAGCTAATGGCCAAGTTAAAAGCATGTTTAAAAAATGATTTAATCACTTCTATTCTTTTTAACTATTGTGTTTCAGTAAAGAAAAGTTTAAATAATACAATTAATATTATAATTTTCTAAATTTTGTTGTAATTATATTAAAAAGAGTTGTTTTTCACTAACAAATGTTGCGTGATGGAACAAATCGAGACTTTGCACGACTTCCACGACTCGGTGATTTAAGATAATAAATTCAAATCTATTATATTTAGTTGCTCAAATATTTTAAACATTATCCACATTTACATTCTTTTCTATTTGCAAATAAATCGATTGTAAATGGCAAATTAACAATAAGACGTTGGCAATCTTTCACATGACAAACGTTCAATGCCGTAAACATTCTCGTTCGGCTCTCCTCCTCGATTCTCACTCAATCGAGTGACCAAATAGCATGGTGAGTTTCAGCAAATTTGTACCATTAAAGTGTAAATCGTTGTGA